GTAATGACCATGCCACTCATAAGTATTTACTGTCTGGTTGATTGATATGAAGTCGTTGGACATACAAAAATTTTACGAAATTTATATCATTTCACCATATTATGTTACCTCTATATAATTTGAATGTGCAGAATTTTAAATCTGTAAAACGTACGGGTCTCCAACTTAATGTTATATATGTGACGATTATACATTTATGTAATGGCGGTGCCACATATTTTAAGTTGGGTCGATCGGGTCGCACACAATTTTAAATATTTTAATACTATTTAATTTTTTTTAAATGAATATAATAGTTGACACCATTGTTTTTTGAGCTTTGATACCACTAAATTTCTTAACCAATAATTGGACGCCAATAGAACTCAAAAAATCCAAGTCCTAACAAAACATGCATGAATAGTAAAATTCACTCAATTATTTAAATGCTTAAACACAAACAAGAATTATTAAAAATTGAGTTTTTTTAGTCATAAACTTTCATTTTCATGTGATTGTAGTCTTCAAAACTTTCTTTTCGTATCATTATTGTAGCGCATATTTTAGTAACTTTTAGCTTATTTATGTCGGCTATATAATTACATTGAGATGCGAGATTACATGCAAGATTTGTGATCTAAATGTTATTATAGTTTCCTAAAACTAATTTGATTGAATTTTAATTAATTTTGTGCACGTGTCCTAATTTCAATATATGGTTCGGCTACTTTGGGAATTTTTTGTATAGCCTACGAAATTATTTTGGGACCAAGTTAGCCAAGAGCAAGAAACATGCTACGTTTGAAGCGAATGAGAGTCATGAACCAAAATGAACAAATGAGAGTTTAGGGCACGAATTTTAAACTAGAAGGGTCCCCGTGGGCGTAAATTTTTTTAATTGTGTAAAATTGCAATATGTTTTTTATTATAAAATAATTCGTTGAATCATATTTTATTTCATATAAATTTCCTCTTTTGAACAAAATAAATTCTTAATTATTAGTTCATATTATATATAAATATAACGTATAAGGATTCGACAACAGTTAGAAGATTCCTAATTTTCTTTTGTAATTAACGATATCATTATGGTCTACTTCATAGGAAGAGATACAGAAAATGTTATAATTTCCAATCATGGCTAATTTGCAATTAGAGCTCACTAGAACTAATGTCATTACGATTAATTTTTCTTTTATCCAAACTTATGGTATTGAAGGAGGACAGCACAAATCCCAGTTTGGAGAAAATTGAGTGAAGAGTGCAAGAAAAATAACCAATCCCTTAACAAATTTTTTTTTTGTCGAATCCCTTACAAATTAGAGTCCTATTTATCGCTTTTAGAAGCAGTCATTAAGGAAGAACTTATTATTAAATTTATATAGGTGTTTCAACGGTCTTAACTAATATGCAAAAGTCATTGGGCTTTTAGTGTTAGGGACGTAAATTTTTCTGGTGGTGTGTTTTAACTAGGGTTTACATGATCACATGCAATGCGCATACAAGACAGAACAGATTATGTGATTTATCGAGTGAGAATATCTTTCCCAGAATCACAAAAAGTTCATAAAATATACTAGGGAAATGGCAAACGCACGTGGTTTAATTACATGGCTATGTATAATGAGAATTAGTGGTAAGTGGGTAGTTATGGGTGTAAAGCAATGATAATTTTAGTAATACAAAAGGGAGACAAATGCCACCTTTTCATAATACAAATAGGACGTGGCGAGTATAAATGAAAGAGTAATGGCAAAATGTATTATAGTTTTATTAAGAAAACCTTACTAAATGATCTCGCATATCTCATGTCATACCGGGGAAAAGAAGCCATAAATTGAGCAAGATCAAGGCTTCCCTATTTTATTATTTTTTCTTTGTTGAGTACCACAATTCCTAAGAGCATTATTACCTGTCTTTGAAGTCCAATGGCCATCAGCAATCCACAAACACCCTTCTCAGACAATTGAAGCACCTCTCCCACATTATTTGAACTTCTTTACTAGCACCTCTAGATTTTACATTTGGGGCCAAATCGACTTCTTTTGGTTGAGCCTTGTCCTTTTGCTGTAATTTGTGATTTATAAACTCTACTTTTTGCAAACTTAGAAAGTGATTCTGGTCATATATTTACTTAAGTCTTTACTCAAAAGTTTTGGTAAATCATAGTGCGTGGATGTCGCGTTGCTTTGTATGAAAATGGTCGGAGATTTGTCTAAAGTCTCTCCAAAATACATTAACGGGATCCTTTCGAAATTTATCTAGAGTCTCACAGGTCATGTTCCATCATGCTAGAGAAGGAAAGTCAAAATGCTTGAGGAGTCATAATTTTTTGATACGAACATTGGTTAGGAAACCTTTCAAATCATTTGATTTATTCAATGAAGATTATCACAACTAGTTTCAGCATTGAATCTAGTCCAACATCGGCGACTATGAATCCTAGTAGTGATTAAATTTACGTCGAAGATGTCCTTATCCCAAAAATGGATTAAAAATATAGCGAAATGAATCAAGCCCCAACCTCCGTAAATGTTTATGCGGATGTGGTCCCTAATTTGGAGCTCCTGATCCTAGATTTGGTTGTCGAGATAAGCAAAAAGAACATGAAGCTATTTGCAATGGCTGACTCCGGAGGCGGTAATGCATTCCATTTAGCAGCTTACAAGAATCGGACCCCAATATTTGAACTCTTACGACCAGAAACTGAATATTTGGCCCGAGAGAAGGACATGAATGGGCATCTTCCTATTCATATCGCAAGCAAGATGGGTCATGTCGAACTAATCGAGAAGCTGTATCCGGTATCACATTTGCTAAACAGGCGAGGACAAACTGTTCTTCATGTCGCAGCAAAATACGGGAGAACTTCAGCAGTGAGATATATACTCAGACATCCAGAACTAGGGATGTTGATAAATGAAAGAGATCATGATGGAAATACACCTTTGCACTTGGCCGCGATACATTCACAACCTGCCACTTTGATTCCTCTCATGCAGGATTAAAGAATTCAGCTCATCCTTCTCAACCACGAATGCTTGACTGCTCTTGACGTTGCTCTAGAAAGTATGAGGAGGGAGTATGCGTTTCGAAAGGTATGTAACATGGACAACCGCTATTTTATTTATCAACTTACAGGATATTTGGTAGACTAATCCATTAGTTAAACGCAGATCTCGTATATATGGAAATCATTATCTCTCCCAGCCGACAGGATTGTTGAAGTATTGACCAATTTTCTAGAATAGCCGAGACTCCTCTAGGATTAATGTTGTACAAGTCTCTAATTTAGTCTTAATAAAAGGTAGTCAAAGTTTGTGGCGATGAATATGTTCACGGTTAGAAACAAGTGAAGTATCTCTGACAAATGCAAAGATAAATGGTTATACATTTTGATCAATTGAACCTATAAATTCAGAGATAAATTGTTATATATCTCAATTGATTGAGCCTATAAAACGCGGTGATTGTCAATGTTGCATTCTTTTTTCGTTAAAAAGCTAGGAGTCAATGTGGCAAATTTGACCACTCCAACTATGGCATAGTCTCGTAACGTTATCATAAAGTCAACGGATGGCAACGATAAACCATAGGGCTTTGCAAGCATCACAGTCTTTGGGCTACCGTGAGAGTAACAGTATATTGTGAGCTATAAATTCTTGAAAGAGTGAACCCCACAACAATTTCTAACTATTTGTTATTTGTTTTTTTGTGGTCCAAACCAAGTTGTTAATCTTATAGTAGATTAAGTACTGTCACATAAGCATCACTCTAAACCATAAACACTTCATTCATGCCTCTTTTCTCATTAAAATGAACCTGTACTCGAGTGTTAATTCTTCAAAAAGAACAGACACTGCATCTATACAAGTAGAAGTTTCCCTTCAAATGAGTTACTCCAGAGTTCATTCCCGTTATCATTCCGGTTATCGATATGGTAACAATTTGTTCTTTTTTTCCTTTTGACATTTTTCCTCTCAGTTAATGGCATTCATGGTGTTGGAATACATGTCAGCTGTAAGCATAGACTTACTCGTACTTAGGCCGGAAGCTCGAGATAAAGCGTATCCAACATACGAAGAGTTCGAAAAGAAGACGAATATGGAACAGGCGAAGGATGTGATCAATACCCGTTTGCTGGTGGCAGCGCTTGTAGCCACCGTGACTTTTGCAGCTGGTTTCGCAGTTCCTGGAGGATTTAACAGCTTGGACAAGGCCTCCAAAGATGAACTGGGAATGGCTATGATGTTGGACAAGACAATGTTCCATGCCTTCGTGATTTGCAACACCATTGCAATGTTCTGCTCAATGATCGCGGCCATCAACCTCATGATAGCGCAGCAATGCGACGTCCTCAAGGCGGTAGCTGCATACCAGCACTCAAAACTGCCGCTAACAATTGCACTCCCGGCTATGTCCGCCGCTTTCATAACTGGTGTCACCTTGACAGTGGGCAAACTCCCTTGGCTTGCTCACTCCATATTTTATTTGGGACTCGTTTTCCTCCTCGTTATCTTAGGTGCTAAATTGTCAGAGTACCCTCAATTCTTTTGTAGCCACTATCGTCCTATCCGTCTAACAATATTCTGGCTATTTCTCGCTTACATCAATTGGTGGGGAGTTGAGAGGCACCTTCCGAATGACTCGGAAGAGGACGAGAAGGCAAGCGGGACCTCCGTTAGTCAGCCTCTGGATGGTGCTGTTGAATCAAATGACTTATGACTGGGCGACAACGAAATGTCGGGACGCACCACGTCATCCTAATCCCTAGTTTCAGTTGATCAATCCAGATTATCTATGATTTGCGGAAATAAATATATATTTGCCTTGTGTATTTGGCTCATTCTACAGTTGCTTTCTATTTTATCAGATCAATGGTGATTGTTGAAGTATTTGAATTAAGTCACGTCCTCCTCTAATAGCTTAATTCTTTGAATAGTTGGATGTAATTTCATAAAATTTTACATGGTATTTAAACATGAAATTCTGATTTCAAACCTTTCCATGTGCTATTTGCCTCATCCAATATAGTCTCCAGACACCATGCACCTGCTCCATAAGACATTTTGTGATTCACAGGATCCATAGAGTGGCAAGTGGAGAGCATACTCACAACCAGATCATCGTATCAAGCAAACAATACAATTCTAAGCCTAAGATAGGATCACACCGAGGTAGGAGAGGGAAATTTTAGAGAGACATGATGAAGGAGGAGTGTTGAAGTTTTTGTAAAAACTCAGTCTTATTCCACAACTGAACCTTCTTACCCTTTTATAGGCAATGCCAATGGTATTACAGACTTTTACACACTCATAGTAGACAAAGGTAGAAGAGTTGTGTGTGTTGGAAAGTATCCCTATGAGATTTTGATGATTACCAAACTATCTCTTTCGCTGATATTTATAATGATGAGTGCAGATAGTGAAACTGGTTATAAATATCAGTGATCCTCCATGTTTGCAATGACAAGATACTGGTCCTTGACGTTTAGGAGAACAAGTACCGATGAGGGTGTATCGTGGTAGCTTGGAAGGACTAATCAGTCTAGTGATCTTGGAAGTCCCTGGCACTAATGAAGATGGAAAGATCACTGATTGCAACATTGCGTGATTTTCAGTTGGCATTATCATTGAAGATAGTCAGTTTGGTCACTTAGTATCCACACCATTGATAGTGTGCATTGAACGGATATGGTGAAGTATCGGGTCTAATATGCACTAGAAGAAGACCGTTGATGGTTCAAAATATGCACTACAATGAAAAAGACTATAGTATCTCAAGCATCAGGACTGATCATGGTGTTGAATTTGAAAAAAAAGAGCTTTGCTGATGACTGTGAGGAAAACGGAATCGAACACAGCTTATCATCTCCTTATACGCCTCAACAGAATGGTGTAGTTGAAAGGAAGAATAGAAGCCTTCCAGATATGGCAAGAACAATGATGATTGAAAGTAGCACTCCTGCTTACTTTTGGGTTAAAGCCATCGCAACATCTTGTTATATCATCAATAGAATGTGATGGATTTTCTTTGTGAAGATGGGCCGCCCATGATGGGCTAACCCAGCCCATGAAAGACAATAACTGCACTTGGTAGTTATTGTCTAGAAACAAATAAGGTGAGAACACACGTAAGAATGTGTGTGCGAGTTGCATTTTTTATCATCAGAAAACTCATTCTCACTAAAAAGACAAAGAAGAAGGAACTTTGTTCAACAATCTAAGGATTGTTCTCTCTCTCGAGGCTGTGATAAGTGCATTTAATCTGTGGCAAAGAGGTATGTTCGTTTATGTGATATACTTCGAACGATCAGTGATTCAAGTATAGAATGGGCACGTTTTTTCCGCAATTTTTGTATTATGTTTTAGGAATATGTTTCCGTCATTGGTATCAGAGCATGTGTTCTTGTTTCCTTATCGTTGCAAGTGTGCATAAAACGGAATATTGGCCGGAATTCGTGAAACGGCGCCAACGAACGCTCGGGTACGAAAACCGACACCGACCGTACTGTTCGGGATCGTTTCTCGAAATTCCGTGCGATAAATTTTATTTTTGAAGGCATAGGGTCGTAGTGCTCGTCGATACGAGCAAAATGACGGGTAGCACTCTGCCGGGTGGCGCCGCACGCGCCCACACGCGCCGCCGCAAGTGGCGGTCTCGCCGGCATGTGCATGGCACGTGCGTGGCGGTTCCTCCCTGCGCGCGTGCACCGCACGCGCCATGAGGGCGTGTGCGGCGTGGCTGACGTCACGGTGACGTCAGCCATGCGGTTGCCCAACAGGGTTTTTCCGGACCCGACCCGACCCGGATCCGACTTGACCCGATAGTCCACCCGACCCGTAGACTTGACCCGTTGACCATTGACCGGCGTTGACCACCGTTGACCTGCGTTGACCACCGTTGATCGGCGTTGACCGGCCCCCCAAAAAAAAAAAAAGAAAAAAAAAACGAAGAAAAGGGCAGAAGGGGTAGAATGTGTTTCTTGAAATGTTGTACCTTGGATTATGAGTAATCCTTTCATTTTTTCTGCATTTGTTGCAGGAATAATGGTACGAAGATATCGAACCCCTATTATCCCTAGAACGACGGCTCAAAAGAAGAAGCTTGAGAAACTAAGAATCAAGCTGGCTCTTTACCGGTGGGATGCTGTTGATGACATGATGACACACATCATCAAGGTCAACCAAATGATACAAGATATCATTTGGAACGGTTTCGTAATGCCAGGGTATGTGATGGTCGGAGCCCTTAAATGCACCATTCCTGATGAGTTAGGAAGAATGATTGATAGGGTTTGGGACACCTTAGAAGGTCCGAGCTATAAGATGATTGTGGAGCAATTCATGATAGAGTACATACGGGTCGGGGCAAGGAGGACGTCAACCCTTGCATTGAATCGGTCTCGGCGCAATACGTTGCCCGAATTTAGGGGTTTTCCGGGTGCCTCCATTTGGATGCCAAAGAAAATAAAATTTCCTGAGGTTTTTCATGAGTCATTTCCGGTTTATAGTAAGAAGATCACCACCTGATTGTGTTTATCTATTTTTCGTAAGCTCTTATGGATATGTTCACTATAGGTTGGTGTTAAATATCTTAGGTGGATGGTTCTTTTTTATGTTGGTGTTTATGTTTATTTCCTATGATGGATTTGTTCCTCATGTAAATAGTTCTATAATGAATAGATGTTGATGGATATTTATTATTGTGAATAGTTTATGATACTATTTTATTATGATATCTGTCTTATTAGAATAAGGTGGTTGAGTGGGAGTTCTAAAAGTTTTAGAAACTTTAAAGAACGTAATTTTACTTTAATGATTACATTAACGGTAATTTCACATTAGGATTTTTGATGATGATTGGGAACATAGCGAACTTTCGAATCTAAAGCCCATGTGAAATTATTCATTAATATAATCAGTTTGTGTAAAATTGATGCATAAATGAGTGGCATTAATAATTCGTGCGTATATGTCAAAATGTTCGAGATACCATGGCTTGACATCAAAGAATATAGTTCTTTGAACCGAACAAAGGAGAGAAGCTTAACGGTGATAATTATGAAATTTGGCATATGAAAATCCAATATGTGCTGGAAGAGCAAGAGGCTCTTGAAGCTCTTAACCTGGTTATGGTAGAGCCTGAAGACGGAAACACTTGCACAACATAAGAGAGATAAGGATGCATTTGCTTGTATGGAAGAGGAAGAACTCCCTTGCTCGCATCACGTTCTTGAGTAGCATGGAAAATGATGTCATGCGAGAGTTTAGGCGTTTTGAAAATGCCAAGGAGATGTGGGAAGCATTAGCAGCAAGATTTGGTCATACATCGGTGACCAAGCTGAGACAGCTCACTATAAGGTTTGACTCGTATAAGAAGCCTCATGGTCAGTCCATGAAACAACACCTGAGAAAGATGTCGAACATGATTAATGAGCTGAAGGATGCTGGCCATGTTCTGACTGATGAGCAGCAAGTGCAAGCAGTGATTCGTTCTTTGCCTCAAAGTTGGGAGCATATGAAGTTGCACCTAACTCACAATGAGAACATCAAAACCTTTGAAGATGCAATGCGCCACTTAGAGCTAGAGGAGGACCGCCTCTTGGCGGATAAGCCGGTAATTGACATTTACTATGCAGGTTCTAGCTCACAAGGGCCTTCGAGCTCTAAGCGTAAGCGTCCTGATTCGTTCAGAAGGTGGAGAGGTAAAAGAGCGAGTTCTTCGGGGAAGAAACCAAGAGATGAACAACACCAAAGAGGAAAGCGTCCTCATGAGAAAAAGATGTCAAGAGTGAAGTGCTACAACTGTAGCAAGAAAGGCCACTTTGCTCGCGATTGTCGTGAGCCAAAGAAGGTTAATTCATCTTGTATTATTGAGAACTTTGTTTATGTATCAAGTTCTATATTTCTAACTGAATCAAATCCTTTGTAGACTGTAGATTCGGGAGCAACAGACCATGTAGCGAAGGATAGAGAAGCCTTCGTAGAATTCCGACAAGTTCCAACGGGAACTAAATGGATTTATGTAGGGAACAACTCCAGAGCCGAGGTTAAAGGAATTGGCACCTGTCAGTTGATTATGTGTGGTGGACGCACTTTGTTCCTACATGATGTATTATATGCTCCGGAAATTCGTCGGAACTTAGTGTCTGTTTTAGTGTTGATTCGACTTGGTTTTAATTTGAACTTCCATAGCAGTGGTGTAGACTTGTATTTAGGTACGAGCTATTATGGTTGTGGTTATTTTCTAGATGGTTTTATTGTACTGAATGTTGATTCTGTAAATGTCAATGTTTGTTATTCCCACTTCACGTCTTCTACTTCGTGTGATAATGATGTGAATGTTTGGCATGCTAGGCTTGGCCATATAGGCCAACAACGAATGAATAGATTAGCCAAAGAAGGCTTAATGGGCAATATTGAAAAAGTCGATTTGCCCACTTGTGAACACTGCCTAGCTGGGAAAACAACAAGGAAACCATTTGGAAAAGGAACAAGAGCTGAATTTCCTTTGCAGTTAATCCATTCTGACATTTGTGGTCCAATGAATGTGAGGGCTAGACATGGGGCTGTTTATTTTATCACATTTATTGATGATTATACTCGATACGGATATGTCTATTTGATTTCTCATAAATCTGAGGCTTTTAGTTGCTTCAAGATATTTATGAACTTGGTGGAAAATCAATTAGATAAGAAAATAAAAGCATTGAGATCCGATCGAGGTCGAGAATATCTATCTGATGAGTTCATAAATTTGTGTGATGAAAAGGGAATAGAAAGACAGTTGTCTATTCCCTATACTCCTCAACAAAATGGTGTTGCGGAAAGGAGAAACAGAACCCTACTAGAAATGGTTAGGTCCATGATGGCGCAGGCTAACTTACCAATCACCTTTTGGGGTGACGCTTTATTAACTGCTGTCTACATACTTAACCGTGTGCCTTCTAAATCGGTTATTTCCACTCCGTATGAGTTATGGACAAGTAGAAAACCCGTTTTGAGTTTTCTGAAACCTTGGGGTTGTGCCGCTTATACACTTGAATCTTC